ATCTTCCATGACGGGGCGGGGGTAGCCGTACAGCACCCAAACTTGGAGCTCGGTCGCTACAGCTTCACGCAGGCGCTGGCTCTGCAGATCCATTGATTTCCATCTCACAAGCCGTCCAGCAGCAAGGCTCCGCAACTCAGCCTGGCAGCACGCTGCAGGTCCCAAGTACGGCTTCAAGCGGTGCTTAGTCGGATAGCCTTGGCCGCCTGCAGCACGCCATGCAACTTCAACGCCATCAGCTCTGATACCCAGTCGGCCCCGATCGTCAAACAGCCAAACGTCCAACCAAGGGTGCCCTAGGTCTCCTGGCTTAGTGGGCTCAAAGCAAATCGGTTCCCTGTAGATTAACGACGGGACCTGGGCAAGACAGCTGCTACAAACTGTTCCGGAAGCGAGGGCCGTATCGTCAACATAGCGGCTGGCTGCTACATGATTGCAGAAGCTCATAGAACCATCGACCGGGAAACCCCAAGCACGCTGCTTAGACACGTCTTCAGACCAGCGGAGTTCTTCAACAGCAAGCACACTGGACGCAATGGCTTTGGACATGTGACCTCCAATGGGAACCCCGCGAACCTGCTCAAACAGAAACTTGCCCAATCTGACCAACGGCTGCTGAAGCGCCAGTTTTAGGACCGCCATGATGTCACTCCAACACCAGACCGTAGCATTGGGACGGTTTCTAAACGAACCTTGGACAACCCAACAGTGCAACCTCCTAGTCCTGGCAACTGCAACCCCAGAAGCATTTTCATACCTATTCTTAGCTAACGTGATCAGCAGATCAACAGCTTCAAAGACCATGCGCGGCGAGATCTCTTCGTACATCTGGGCCGCATCACAGACCACAAGGGACAAGCCTGCAAAAGGGTTGCTGCACTTGCAACAAAGATTGTCACTCGAACGTGCAAGCCTGTCACATGCTTTGGCGAAATCTTTCACGGCTGTGTGCAAGTTGCGGGTCTCAAAACCTAGTCCTAAAACCCAAATGAGACCAACAATGGCACGCGAAGCCCCTCGGTATAAAGCCTTAGCTGGGTGAGCTTTCCAGGAAACGATGCGTCTAAGACACGAGTGGTGACTCTTGGTACATACATGACCTATCCCCTCCGCAAAGCATTTGGCCTTCAAAGTGCAGTAAGCATATGGCAACTCGAAGCTTCGCCATCTGGATTTCGCACTGAAGCGTTTGAGGTGACTGGGAAGAAGCTCTGAGTGCAGACGCCGGTATGCTTCAACTGCTTCTGCGACGGAACCTTGGAACGGAACCCAGTGCACATCATCTTGGCGGAACATGAAAAAGCACCAGCGAGCATAGAGAGTCAAGGGCATGAGCCAAGCAGCGTTGCGGTCTTTGTCTTCTTGCACAAACACATACCCGTCTGGGCATGCAGGAAAACAGTCAGCATACTGTTCATGTAGCCCGCAATCTTCTGCTTGACATGCAAGCCAAGGGACAGTGTGGCTGACTATCTCTTCGAGCCACTGTGAAGGTCCAAAATGCACCATTTCTGCAAGCGAATACAGAGTCGATGAGACAACTTGCCGAACATGCTCCAATGAACTCAAAACGGGCACGCCCCAGTGTAGTTTTGCACGCGTCATCTTCAAGCACTCAAGTTGCGACGGCTTCAACTTTGCAAGGCGACATGTAAGCAAGGTTTTGTCACGAAACTTTTTCGCTGAAGGGATGAACTGCCAAGCCGACGCAAAAGTCAATGACTTGGAGTGAGCTGGCCGCACCAACATGCACATCCAAACAGATGCCCAGTCGCTGTTTTCGTATGCCGCCTTTTTGAAGCAGTGAAGTACCGACCAGAAGACTTTTCTGGGGCAGCACGCAGGCCAAGGCAAGTGAATCAACTTCGCAGCTTTCAAGCCAAGCACACGCAACCGCATTGACAGCTTGTTCAACGCCCTTTGACGGGTAGCAGATTTGGGACAACTGAGCAAAAGTTTGCCCATGTGAACAGCCCATTCTTTTGAGCAACACGTCCATCGGCGATGCCTCTGTTCAAGCGATTCCCAACAACAAACACGCGAATCCGCAACATACCTGACAAGCAGATTTTTAGCGAAAGGCCCATAAATATCAATGGGTCCCGCGCCGAAGCCATTCAACAGCAGGTGCTTCTGCAGATGCACATAAGCTTTGTGGAAAGGCAACGTTGCTACAACCTGCAAGCTTTCATCACATAGGTGCCTCGATTTCGTGTGACACAAGCTCGCACTTACGCGCAACCATTGCGCCCGGTGAGCATCAAAGCAGCGACTGTCCTTGGCTCCAGGTCTGCAAGTCGGTCTGCTCCGCTGCTGTCGAGAAGCAACAGAGTGACGAGCACGCGCAACCGCACATCCACCTGTCGACCTACAGTTTCCTTTCTTTTGCCAACACCTGATTGCAGCATCTTCCAATGCCCGAATATGTGACTCAACACTAACAGAAAGCACCCAGAACATGTGATCAGACGCATGTAATCGCCCAAACAGACGCAATTTAGGAGTGGTGCGACCAGTTTTGTCCAACCGAAACCTGCGATGTTCAAGCACATGCTGATAGGAACGCTGGACGGGTGCGTCGCCCCGACACGCAGTTTTGTGCGCACCAAACTTAGTGGAGCCGATATACTCGTGGTATGCCGACGAGAGCTGATACAGGACTGCATGCCCTGGGACAGGCTGCAAGACGCATAGCACGTGCAAACAAAGAAATTGAGCAAGAACCATCTTCGTAGGGGCAGACCACGTTTGCGAATGCAACAGTGCTGCCTGAAGCAAAGGGTCCAAGCCAACACACCTTCCAAAAGCACGGGCACGTTTTCTCTTGCCACCTGAGGCCTGCCAAGCAGTGATGAGCAACAACCGACAGCAACCTCCAAGAATCCAAAGCAAATCCGTTTCTGCACTGGTGCTACGCTTGGATTTGACAGTCTGAGGAAAAATCCAATCCGCGAGCGATCGTGCGATAACAGTGAAGCTTTGAACATGTTCCCACGTCACATGTCCAGATTCAAGCACGCAGCAGATCACCGCCATCAACTGAATGACATCTTCAAACATGCGACTTCTTTTCAAGGCTGTCTTGACAGAGTCTGTAAGGCATGCATGAATGAGCTTTGACCAATCAGCCTCAACATGCGAGTCAACTGAAACAGACCTGCACCAGGTCCGCATGGCTTCTAACACGGTGCATCGCATGCGGTCTTGGGGCATTTCAAACCACCCATGCTGTTCAAGATTTACTTTGACTCGGGCAACCGGTGCAGTAGGTATACATCTATTTTCCCCGCCAGGTTCAACGGAATGAGCATGTCTCTGATGCCACCATGTACTCCACAGTCTTTGAAGTGCTACACCAACTGATGTCCAGCACAAGCGAACAATGCATGGAATGACTAGCCGAAGCATCCTACGACGTAGCCATCGTCTCACAGTTCGACGGGGAGGCCTGCGCCTCCGCCGGCGACTATTGTTTCTCAATGATATGGAATGTGTAAAGTTTTGTGGCTGAGGCACGCCAGGTTGCAAACCTAGTAGCCGTTGCAAACAGAGCCACAGCGCAATCAGCACTTCACGCCCTAAGAAATATGCCAGAAGAACCAGACCTCTCAGCGCAGCTGTTGCAATATGGAAGAACATGTAGAGTGACAGCGACGACCGAAGACTCAAACCAGGAGGGAGTCCGGGACACGTCGCCGGACCAAACACTGAACTGTTTACTCATTCAGCTCTGTCCGCCGTGCAGCCATGCTATGAGCGCG